CTCGGGGAGGATCCTGAGTCGTTTTTGGTGACGGCCGTGGGGCCCGGCGAGGGCCCCAGAGGTACAGCGAACAGCTTAATCATTTGTCCCAGCCATCCTGTGGTGTTGGGTCTTCGTTCTGAAGAGACAGCGCCCCGCGTTCCTTCTCCTCTCCTCTCCTCGCCTCTGCTCTCCTCCCCTCCTCCTCCCCCTCCCCCCTCCTACGCCCCAGAGGGAGCTTCACCGAAGGTCCCAGTGGCGCAGTTCGCATGCGGCTCCCCCACCCAGCACAGCGTTTCGGGGCCCCAGAGGGAGCTCCACCGAAGGTCCTAGTGGCACAGTTCGCATGCGGCTCCCCCGCCCAGCACAGCATTTCGTAACCCCGTAGGGAGCTCCACCGAAGGTTCAAGTGGCGCAGTTCGCATGCGTCTCCCCGACCTAGTACAGCATTTCGTGGCCCCATAGAGAGCTCAACCGAAGGTTCCAGTGGCGCAGTTCGCATGCGTCTCCCCCACCCATTACAGCGCTTCGTGGCCCCATAGGGAGCTCCACCGAAGGCGATACCCACAACTGCGGTACCCACAACTGCACATGGTTGGGTCCTTCGCCAGACGAATGTTTCAAGACGTTGGAGGTATGGGGAAGATGACAGCTCTGCTAAACGTTGCTGCGCAACGATGGACGGGGGAGGAGGAGAGGAAGAGGAGGAGGAGGAGGAGGAAGAGGAGGAGGAAGAGGAGGAGGAAGAGGAGGAGGAAGAGGAGGAGGAGGGGGAGGAAGACGAGGAGGAGGAAGAGGAGGAGGAGGAGGAGGAAGAGGAGGAAGAGGAGGGGGAGGAGGGATGAGGAGGAGGAAGAGGATGAGGGTGCTGGGAGGGAGGGCCAGTCGTGTGTGTCTCTCTGGGGGCCCTCGCGGCCACGGCCAGGCGCGGCCTGCAAAATATGGCGGGAAGACTGGAGGCCTGTCTCTGCCACTCCCCCACTACTCTCCTCCATTTCCCCTCCTGCTGCCATCCCTCATCATCTCTCCTCCCGCCTCTCTCCTCCTCAACCCCCTCTCCTCCATCCTGTCTACTCTCTCCTGTCCCTCGCTCTCGCTCTCTCGTTTTTTTTTTCTCTCTCTCTCTCTCTCTCTCTCTCCTGCTCCTGCTCTCTTCTCCTCTCCTCCATCCTCTCCCCTCCTCCACAATCCCTCGCTCCTATGACTGATTCATCCCTGTCGCACCCAGACGTGTAGGTAGTGCGGGTCGGGCGTTTCGTCTGCGACTTCTTCAACACTCATGTCTCCTGAAGCTTGAAGTGTGCAACAGCTTCACAGATGGAGGGCGGATGGGTTTCGAAATGTGGTTTTCGTTTTTGTACCGCGCACATTCGTCTTCAAAATTTGCAGCAGCTTCACGGATTGAGGGCGGGTGGTTTTCATAATATCGTTCTCGCCTTAGCGCCGCGCACATTCGTCTTCACGAGTTTGCACGGATGGAGGCGTATGGCTTTCCGATTGTGATTCTCGCTTTAGTGCCGCGCATATGTGTCTTCAGACGTTTGCGACAGCTTCACAAATGGAGAATTGGTGGTTTTCAACTTGTGCTTCTGGTCTGAGCGCCATTCACACTCATCTTAAACGGTGTCAGCCGCTTCACGGACTCGCGTGACCCAAGTCCCAGGATTGGAGTTCGGGCGCGATTGATGATTATCAGGGCGCTACACTCACGTTACTTCTCTGTGTTGAGATCTCAGGCGTGGTGTTCTGGTAAAGTTTCGGATTGTCAGGGCACAACGCTCACGCTGATCCGCGGGCGTTGAAGTCCCAGGAATTGTGTTCTTGCATTCTTAAGGATTCTCTAACGGGTGCCTTCTAATGGGCCACTTCACGCAATTCAGGTAAATGTCTGTAGGGATTTGTGGAAAGGGAACCTGAGGGGAGGGTTTCTTGCAACATCGTTGATACGTCTTCGGTTTACAGTGGTCCTCATCCTCCTCCTCATCCTCCTCCTCCTCGTCCTTCTCCTCTTCCTTCTCGTCCTCCTCCTCTTCCTCCTCGTCCTCCATCCGTCGCCGTTGTGATGTTTGGCTCGAATCATCTCTTGCCGCGCATGTGGCGGCGAAATCCGAGCCCTACCTTCGCCGATCAACAATTCAGGCAACCCGATGGGCGGCGGGGGCAGGGTTCGCAATCCCTCGAGCACGTGGCGAGATCCGAGCCCTGCCCGCGTTTCCCATCGATTCGGGAGAATCGATGGTTGGCGGGGGTAGGGTTCAGATGTCGCCACCTGCGCATGTCAGTCCCGCTCTTCACTCTCCACCTGCGCGCCTCGCGTTCACGTCCCACGGCTGATGACTCTGCGGGCAGGCGACACTTTGGCGACGCCAGACGCTCGCGAGCCTCATGTCCCCGCAGCCAAGGGAGTTGCCCAGAACTTCCAAAGCAACCGACTTAACCAAAGAGCAGAGTTCAGCCCGTTCGACGGGGCGCCCTATCGCCATAAGGCGTGTCGTCATGGCGGCCGCAAATCGTTCCCGCTTCGTCTTAGCGCTCCCTGTCGGGCCTTCCATGCTACCATAGTCCGGTCGCTCTACAACCGGAGTGTGAACCACCTTTGTAGTCCGGCCCAATCACGAATCACTCAGCCGAATCTGGATTTCCACAGGCTCATGACACGTAGAGGCGTACCAAACCACCGCTCCGTCCTCGCATTCTTTCCATGCATCGTCGCCCTGGACCCAGCGACGCTTAATTGCGTGGCGGCAGCCCTGTTCCACACCCTGCCCAAAGTGCAGGGATTTACACGCCGTGAACTGCCACTGGTCACGGGGCCTCGATAAGATATGGTTTAACTGGTGGGCCGTGCGGCAACGTGGATGCCACCGCATGGCCGACTGTCTCTGGCGGTACATTGTTTTCATAACATGATATTGGCCCCGGCGGAACTCTTTGAGTTGACGACCAGAGTCGGTGAGCCGGGGCGGACCGTTTACGCTTATTACATCGCTGTCATCCTGGGTTGTCCGCTGGCCAGCTTACGCGTTGAAGTCCCCACCGATGACGAACATATTGCTCTGCCCACGACTCTTTTCTTCCACGAACCGAATTTCCTTATAAAAACGGTCCTGGGCACGAGCGTATCTCGGTCCAGAGCAAGGCGCGTACGCGGTCACGAGCGTTAGGCCACGATGACGACCTGCGCGCGGCATGGTGAGCGCCAGACACCGAGTGCCTTCCCGATCATGCCCACCCCGAACTACGGCGTTGCTTCCCCATCCCGCCACTCCTGTGCTAAATCCTCCCTCAAAGCAACCCCCACCTTCCCCCTAACCACCAAGGTCAATTTGATACCACCCATACGAACCACCCCGTTCTGGTGGAAATCAAGATCAGGCAACAGGCAGAGTCGCCATCGGCGCGTGTTCATCAGAGTGAACAAACACTCCGCCTTAATTTCTTGATTCATTGCCTGGTCACCTGCCCCAAAGCGCCGGGTATCCCACGCACCCCCGAAAATGTACTTGGTGGTGTTTTTTGCGCGATCGTCTATTCCGCTTGAGTAGTGACAGATTGCGTAACGCTAGCGGTCGTTTTCTAGCCTTCCTACCTCTCCTGTGTGCCTTCCTTGCCTCCTTACGGCACACTTTCCTGCGCCGGCACCGTGCACCAGCTTTTGGTGTCGTGGGTCCGAAAAGTTCGCTCCACAACGACCTGTTTCCCTGGGACCCGAAATTGGCGCGCCTGGACCACGGGCGTCGCCGTTGCCATTCCCCGACCCTCCCCTGGGGAAAGGTCCGTGGACCCAACCGCCCCATGGTGGAATTGGGATGAGGAGGGTTGTACACTCCCGCCCCCAGCCGAAGAGCCAACGCCGGAAGTAAGTTCCCCCGAGCACGAACCCGTGCCAGAGCCAACGACACCGAACCTATCTCCACTTGGTGACCGAGAGGGGGCGCCCCCGAGAGGGCATGGTTAGCCGTGTCTCCTCCCTCTGCCTCTCCTCCCTGACCTCTCATGGCGAAGATTTCCCAACAAGAAAAACAAAGACCCAACACCTAAACACCTAAACGAGGAGAGAGGGATGAGGTCAAGAGCACCTGGAGGATGACACGTTGCCCCAGGCGCGTCCGGAGCCGCCCGTCCAGAGGTCCTGCAGGAATATTTCCAACAAACCTTCGGATCTTTGAGCCCGACCTCCAGGCCGAGCGGCACGAGGAGGCCAGTGTACCTGCGCCTGCTCCTCCTCCTCCTCCTCCTGCTCCTGCTCCTGCTCCTGCTCCTCCTCCTCACTTCTTGCCGCCCGTTGCCACGCGGTGCGCACGCGTACGTGTGAAGCGTTGCAGTTGTCCCTTCATCACCCTGGACTCCCATCAATTACCGACAAGATATTGACCATTTTTCATGCTTAGCCACGCTGAAGGCTCACGAGCTATTACAGCATGTGGACGCCATACATCGCAGTGTTGTTATAGATCCGCGTGCTACCAGGGCCAGTCATGCTCGTTTAATGTTATCGCCAGCTCGTTGCAGTCACACCTTCGTGGCCTGCCTGTCTGCGGTTCGTCCTCATTTCCTCATGAATGGTGCACGTGCTACCAGACTGCGGATACGCCAACACGGTCACGATATGCCCATCAATTGACCACGGTTAGAGCCGGGCGCATCGGAAGCAGGACTTCCACGGTATATTTTAAGTTCGCTACTGACTGAGTATTTCTTCAGCCAGGACTGCAGCTTAACAATTGGCCACACACACGCTAGCATGATCACATGGATCTGTTTTGCGTCACTGCCTAGGGCTCCGACTCTACGAATTACGCCAGCCACCGTAAGAACGCCTGCATATACCATCTGCACCGCTTGGGCGCTGGATACCACAATCCGTCGACGCGGACCTTGTTCACGTCCGCGCTGCTCAACGGGCAGCCAAAGTGTTTGCTGACAATGAAGGCTTCAACGATTTTGACAACAGCAGCACTGCGTCGACTCACGGTACGGTTTTCAGTTGCGGATTTTGCTGCTCACCCGATGAGCGCCACCACGCAGTTCCCTTGCAACACGGACGCTGAATGATTTCTTCCCGCAAGCGAGCCCGGGGAAACACGCTCGTTCATGATTCGGAACGGCGCACGGCTGCAATTGCATACGTAAGCCAGTTCGTGTCCACCAGGCACACTTGACGAAGGCCTGAACGCGGCTCCACAGCGCGCGCCGTCATTTTCGCGCCAACTGACACGGCCACGAATCATTTCTCGAGGCGCAACATCAGCTCATTCTCAACATCAGCCTGGATCAGCCCAGCGACAAGCCCCCGCCACGAAGCAGCATTGCGCCACCGACGAGCACGCGGCCCCAACCATTACGAAGCCTAATTCCTCGGCAGGTGCTCAGGCTCCAAGATCGACGACACCCACGCTTAGCCCGTTGGGCACCCGCCCCCCACCCCGAGCCTGGCAGTGGCCATGCGCACACACACACACACACACACATCACCTTCTCTCACCCACGGCGTCATCGCCACCGCCCTCGCTGTCCCGACTACAGCCGGCTGTGGGGGACTAACAAAAAGGTACCAACACCGCTGCTCCCTGGACCTCCAGGGGCTCTGCCTAGACTTTCGGGGCGAGTCCAGCAGTGGCGAAGAGGAAAGGGCAGCGGTATCGATACCCTTTCTCGGCGGCGAGCCCAGGGGGGAAGTGAGAAGGGGTGGGCCTCAGAAGGCTCGGAAGTCCCCACGTCTTCTGAGAAGTTTCCCAGGCCTTCCGCGAAGACGCAGGAAACTTCCCAGAAGGCGCGAGGGCTTCTGAGAAGTCCCGCCGCCTTCTGAGAAGGCCTTCTCCTCACTTCCCCCCTCGCTGGCCGCCGATTTTCCTCCTCCGAGGCTCCCGAGCCGCAGCTCTCGAAGAAGAGAGGTGCGGCGCGACCAGCATTTTTCACAGGGCGGTCAGGGGGGGCGCCCCCGCCGCCGAGCGGGCGCCGAGTGGACTCGCTGGGCGGGTGCCATTCTTGGAGCTCCCAAGCAGCGGGCCCACTGGCGACTGCCACGCGAGCCTTCCTCCACCTCCACGAGGGCGCCCTCGAGGGCGCGAAGTTATTCGCGGTTCGGCTCCGATTCATCCTCATCTTCTTCTTCTCCTTTGGGGGGCGGCGCGAGAGCGCGACATTATTCGCACTTAGCGCAGCGCGAAGCCAGGCGTGCCGCTTGGAGCTCCCACGCCAGCAACGGTCGGCGATACGTCAGGGTGACCTTTCGCCGGAGTGACCTTTGGTGCTAGCACACTGCGGCCCCCGGATGGCTGAATGCGACGCGAAAAAAGCAGCGGCTTGCGCGCTCTGTTTCGGCCTCCACGCGGCCCCCGACAGTCGCGTACCAAAGGTCACGCGTGTCCATGGTCAATCTTACGTGTAGCCGAAACGAGCCCACTGGCGATTGCCACGCGAGCCTTCCTCCACCTCCGAGTCGGCGGCGCGACGAGGGGGGAAGTGAGAAGGGGCATGCTTCTCAGAAGGCGGCGGGGCTTCTCAGAAGCCCTCGGGCTTTCTGAGAAGCCCATCTGCGGTGTTGGGGGAGGCTTCAGGACCTTCCCAGAAGGTCCGGAGGCCTTCTGGGCTTTCTGAGAAGGCCCGCCCCCTCTGGGCTCCCCCCTGGACGCGCCGCCGATCCAATGTACACAGTCCCTCGTTTTGCATGCTCAGAATACGACGGGATCACTCTGGGGGTTCCAGGTCCGCTAGGACACCCGTCGGCTGGTAGAGAAACATCAGTGCTGTGGGAATGGATGGGAGGAAGGTTTTGAATGTCGGATATGGCGCGCGCTCACCTAGTTTGCAGTATCCTCCTCGTCCTGCTCCCTTTCCTCGTCCTCGTGCGAATCAAACATTATTTCCCCCTCTCCCTGTCCTCCCCGCCCTCCTTCCCACCTCTGCTCATCCTCGCCGAAGCCCTGCGATACCCGATACCCGATCTTGCTCCAACCCTTCAGAGCCCACTTTCGATCTGATCGGGCCGATTCGATCTCGATTCAGGCTGGCCCGATCCGATCCGATTCCGATGCAGTCAACCCGCATAATAGTGATGAGCAATTTTCCAAGGTTGCACTTGCATCCTTCCCCGTCTCCCCATTCTTGGCTACTTTCGCTGGCCGCGCCCCGCTCGCAAAGTGTCGACATGGCATTCCAAGGCCCTTGCATCCTTGTCGACGATGCGATGCGGCAGATCTTCTCACGGAGTCGTTGTGCATCTCGGCGCGGCTGACCCGATCCGATTCCGATTCCGTGCTGATTCCGCCCGATTCGGTTGCACGATCCGATCCGATCCGATTTCCCGATTCTGATGGGTTAATTTTCCATCCCCATACAACAATAGATAGGACGGGGGAGAAGGGAAGATGGGGAGCTCCTCCTCCTCCTCCTCCTCCTCTTCCTCCTCCTTCTCCCTCTCCTACCTTTACCTATGGTAGTGGTGGTGGGAAGTCGGCCTATCATATTCGAAGATGACGGTTTTTGCCCCTTCGGCTCTACCAGTGAAGGGAGGGCATCAATGCAGCTCGCGCCATGGCGGCAACTGACCGCGGGCGCCGGCCTGGGGCACGATGCTCCGGCGGCTGCTGCTCCCTGAGGTCTCCCCAGAGCTCACCTTGAAGCAGCAGCTGCAGTCTCAGGTGCCAGGAGTGGAAGGAGCGTCATCAAAGAAGAAAGGCGGCATGAGCATAAGCTTTCCCAGGCCCGCGCGGACCTCTGAAAGTAGATGCTTGTGCCGATGCATCGTCCTCTAAGAGAGGATCAATGACACGCTGCCGTTGGGAGCGGCTTCTTGTTCATTCGTTTCTGCCCGAAGGCACAGTGTGCTTCTTCAACAGCAACACGGTGGTGGATTCCCCGCGGCGGCGTGTCGTTGATCCCGTCTTGGCTCGCCAAGGTGCCACAGCTGTTTCCAGTGCTGCGCGGCGTCATCACCGTTCTGGTCGTGTGCCTGGGCACGCTCTTCTTCGGACAGGCCGCCGTCCCCGACAGCGGCGTGGGTAGGGAAACAAGCAATGACATAAACATAACAGCTCAGACGTCCGCGCGGATTTCTCGGATCGGCGCTGGACCTCCGAATTTTGATGTTCATGCCATTGATTGTTCCCCTAGTGGAGACGAGGGCGAGGAGGAGGAGGAGGAACAGGAGCAGGAGCAGGAGGAGGAGGAGGAGGAGGAGGAGTGCACCGCGCGCCTGAGTTGTCCAGGCTGTGCTGGGTGCTGAAGACTGCAACTGCTGCGGCCGAGGGCGGCCGTGGAGGGGGATGAGGGGGAGGAGGAGGGGGCACATCTCTGTCGGGCGCCTGTGGGATAGTATGATCAAGCGAAATCGGATGAGCAGCCATGGCCTCCAACTGCGCTCTCATGAATCGTCTCCCCCCGCGGGCAGCCTTCCTTTCAGTGTCCCACACCCTCGCACGCGGTCTCTTATCAACCCTCCAAGTCATCACGGTCTCGCCCGCAATGACGTCGGCAACCGCGTTGCCAAACAAAACATGAAACGGTACACCTTGCATGCGGCCTTCATCTGTTTCCAGGTGCGACGGGGCCCAACATACAGTGATGAAAGTGGGGCCCTGGCATCGATGAGCTTACCAATTTCCTTCCAGATAGGTCCAAGAGCACCCTGGGGATCACGATACTCTTTAGCGTGTCAACCCTCGTATGCAGCACGATTATCTGTAACATTGACGAGCACGCCGAATTGATAGCTACCTCTGAACACCGTAACTCTCCTCTGAAGACCGATCGGGGATCTCCTGCAAGAGGTCCAGCAATAGAGGCCCCGTAACTAGAGGATCGAAACGCCTAAGGGCGACCACCGAGAACCCTACCCGCCTGAGCTGCTCATCCCGAGGCTCGGGCCCCCCCGTCGCGTCCCAAACGACAAGGAGAGGGGCGTCTAAAGCGCCCGAACCAAGGCTGCCAGGGCCTATGGAACCTTCAGAGGCCCCCAGGAGGCTTCAATCCTCGGCCTGAGGAGGCGGATCGAACAAGGTCCATTGCCTCGGGATGACGCTTCTGTACCAACAGCTTGGAGTGGCATCGCCCTGCGTGAGGGCTTGCCCGACCAACTGGTCGGTGTCCTTGGAAATTGGGTGGTTGTCGGTACACCTTCACAGCCAGTATCTGCGTCGAGGTGTCTAGGGAAACTCGCGGCAGCGGGGGAAAGTGTCATCCTCCCCCAAATTAGCTTCCCTCTTTTTCGGTAGCGTCCATGACCCTCCCACTTCTATATTCAAAAGTATTTCAGCCAGTTGCCGCTCTTTGTGGGCGGTGTGAAGCTACACGAGCAAGGCACGGAGGAAACGGTTGTCGGCACCGTCCTCTAAATCTCCTCCACAAACATGCAGCTGTTGTTGGCAAAGGCGAAATCTCTGAGACGGTCCTTGGCTGGATCGATCGATCCGAGCGCCCCGTTGAACATCCAATCGAAAGTATTCCTGTCGTTGGCCTCAGGGGCCGTCCAGATATCGGAGCGCACGGGTTCCCATCCTACACGAAGCAAGCTGGCCACCGTCGCACTGAGCGGCCCCCTGGCGTGCCTTGCGAATTCGGGCGGACTTGGGCTGCTTAAAATGCCCGATAGTGGCTGGCCATGCTCGCCTGATGTTTGCCCGAACGCGTGGAATCTCGATCCAGGCTCGGATCCACTCCTGCAGGCTGGCAACGGGTAGGTTGACTCCTGGATCATGTCCTGGCGCGCGCAGATCCAAAGGCGACGGGAGGCGCTGACCCCGCTTCGAGGCGCCAGCAACCGATCCTAACCTCCTCCCGAGTGTAGTCAGCCGAAAGCGCCGTAAATCTGCGCGCCGTGCGTTGAGGCCGCCCCGGGGCCCTGTCAATTCAATGCGCTGGGTAACGTGATGACGCCGAGCCGCATGAGCGAACCGCCTAAGTTTGCTGCCTTGCGGTCCTCACTTCATCGTCCTCTGCCTACTCGTCCTCCTCGCCAGCCTCTTCCCCATTCATTGGTCGACTCCGAGATGCGGCGCTTGGAGCGAGACCTGCACGTCAATGCCTAACTGCTTCAGCTTCTTACCCACGGTAGTAGCAACCGAATGAGATGAGGAAAGGACGGTGCTCTTGGCGGCAAGTTGGAGGCCGTGCTCCCTGGAGGCTGCTGCTGTTGAGGCGGCGCTGGCGGTGAGGTTCGACGTTGACTTGCTTCTGTGAACCAATGGTGGACAAACTCGCATCGTCGATCCAAATGCGCGCGCGCTCGCTCATGCTGGGACTTGCAACCGCGAGCCCTTGCAACGCATCGCGCGCCATGCACCGCGCGAGCCGAAGGCCCCCCTGCACGATATCACGACATTGAGCTGAGAGAGTGCACGGGGGGCAGGACAGACCTGGAGCCCGAGAAACAGGAGGGTGGGGGAATTGAGTCTGGGGGCTGCATTGACAATCTTAAACATTCTTGATGTCGAGCATGTCTGCGCCGACCGCGCCCCGCTGTTTCGCGGCCAACTCGCAAGCCAGCGCGCGAATGAAAGCCTCGCGAAGGGCACCGTTGCCGACCACCGCGGCATCGCGCCATGGGGGTGGTCTCGGAACTCCAAATTTTGGCGCGAGGCTCTCTGGCAAGGCCCCCCGCCCTACATATCATGGCCACTAACCCAATAACTCCTGCCCCTACACTCTTCCCAGCAAGCACCCTGCCCACCGCGAGCGCGTTTTGCAGCGGCAATGTCGGAGATTGCTCAATGGCATTGAAAAGGTTGACTAAATCATTGACGGCGCACTCAGGGAGGCGCTCGAATTCTAAACGAGGAAGACGGCCAATGCCCACGCCAATCCGAGCTTTCATTTTCCCAGGTGCCCCACTGACGGCCTCGCGGGTTAAAGGAGGCATGCGGTCAGAGGAGTTGGCGCCCCTTACTTGGCTGAATCGAGCTCTGGGCTCGCGCAACTCCAGATCGCCGGCCCGCCATGCAGCGCGCCGCCCCTTCACCTCAGCATCTGCGATGCCCGTGGGATTGTAGAGGCGGGCCCCGTTGTGAAAGAACCCTTGTGAGGCCCGAGGGGCGCCCCATGGGGGGGCCGCGGAGAATCCCAGCCGAAGACTCCTCGGCGACCCAGTCTTGCAAGCGCTGGAGAGACGCACGCACCGCTTTCCTTCAGGCCCCGCGCGTGGCCCCGCGAGCGAGGCCCCCGAAGCGCCCGAGAAGCTTCGAGTCTGAAGACTTGGCGTGCCCAAGGTAACCGACCCATTGACTCCACTGTGGCGCCCCAAGGAAACCCGGAGCAAACAAGATGGGCCCCGCCAGGAATTTGATTGACAAGCACGCGACAAACTTGGGCGAGTGGGGGAAACTGTCCGGCCCCATTCTGGCGATTGCGACGCCGACGGAGCCGAGCAAGCACGCGCCGCAGCTGGGGCCGCCAGCCTGCGACAACGTCCGACAAGGATTGAACTCGCAAGTGCTCCGCACGTTGCACAACTTCAATTGAAAGGCGCGGGCCGTCGGCGCGCGATCGACCTGTAGCCGCGCCCTCATGAGGGCCCTGGGCGGCGGCCTCTGCGACCTCGATCCAGGTAGCGAATTTTACTTTGACTGTCTGCGCGCATGGGCCCCCCCAGCGGCGCGAGCAAACGATGAGCGAATGACCTCGCAGACTTCGTCCTGACCGCTGGCCGCGACCCCGATGCTATCCTTATGTTTCTGCTGGGTCTCCTGCGGGATGTGGAAGGGGGGGGGGGGGGGGGGGGGGGGGGGCGGGGCTGCCTGCGGCGCCGTCGCTGCCCCTGGGTTGCGGGGCCCCCGACGGTTTCGACAGGGGCGATGGGCCTTTTCACCCCGGCGGGCTGAACAGCGACAGGCGCGGCGACCCTACCTTGAAAATCCGACTCGCGGGCCCGCGGATCGGGCTCCTGCTCGGAATCGTCACCAGCGCCGAAATTGAAAGATCAACGGGGCCGCCCTCGAGCGTGTCTTGAGACAAGGCTCGAGACCGAGACTGAGCCTGACATTGAGCGCCTGGGGCCTGGCTGTCCGAGAGGTCCCCGAACAGTGTTCGTAAGCTTCGCGGAACCTAGTCTGAGCAGAAGCCAGAGCTTCTTGCTTCTCGCGCTTCGCCCTCTGGGACTTCCTGTCAGCTTGGGGCAGGGCGCTCAGGCGGGAAACCTGTGGGAGCTTGCGAGGCGCATGCAGGGCCCCAGTGAGAAGCTGCATGCCCTCGCTCTTTAAAGCCAGACCGGTGGCGCAGCGCCCCCCTCCCCCCCCCCCCCACACACACACACGCACGCACACACACACACACACACACACACACACACACGCCCACGCAACGTCCAAGACTGCTTCCGCTCGCTCGATGCACGGACAAGTTGCTCGGCCGGCGAATGCGTGGCTGATGCATGAGGCACTTGCGCTTGTGACGCACGCGTGCTCGACGCCATTGAAATACTGCGCATTGAGCACGCCCGATGAACCCGCTCTTGGCTAAGGTGGTTGGTGACACGTTAAAGTCGGCAATGATTGTCCAGGGAAGCTAGAGTGGCTGCACAAACGCTCCTAGGCGAACGTGCAGCAAGGCAGTGCCACAACGAATACCTCCGCATATGCCATAAAACATCCGGATGACGATTGCGAAACCCTTGAAGTGCATAGCGATGGGGAGAAAGCCATCAAACGCATCGCAATTGGCAATGCACAGAGGACTGAACTCGCTGGACTCTCCAACCCTATGCGCTGACAAGTGACCGCGAGCAAAGAAGGCCTCCCCCCAATCGAGCGCGGGTCGGAGCATCTGCTTTCGGCCTGACCGCGTTAAATCATGACTGAGCTTGCTCTTGCGAGCTTCTTTGGTCGAATGCTTCTCTCGACTGGCAGAGGCGCGCGAGTCGGCAATAGCTACTCATACTTGGCCGAAACAGCTCAAAGGGAGAGGTGCTGCCAGGCGAAGGGACCGAGGTATGTGACGCTGCCGAAACGAAGGCGCGAGAAGGGGGCTGCATCGCCGCCTGGGCGCTCGTGATCATCGACCGCGGCCTCTCCCAGGCTGGACTCAGAAGACGCGATTGCCGCCGAGCTCGGCGACGCCGCCGCGCCCGCCGCTGGTGCCTGGCTGCTGTCGGCCGCTGGGTGGCCGCCAGGCGCAGCCTGCTGGCCGCTGCCTCAAGCCGTGGCTGGGCCCCCCATCGACTTGGCCGCCACGACTGCCTGCTTGGCTGCGAACTTGGCTGCCGAGAGCTTGCTCGCAGCCTTCTGCAACTCCGCCGCCGAGGCCTCCGCGGGCGCGCCGCCTCCGCCGCTGCCGCTGGAAGCTGAGCCCTGGCCTCCTGGCTCACCTGCTCCGTCGGCTGACCCTGGGACTGGAACGCGCGCGCCTCCACCTCCGTCAACGGCCTGACCCTGGGCTGCCTTGCGCTTCTGGACTTTCCTCTCGGGATCCTCTGCACCTGCTCGTGCTCGGCATTCCACCGATTGACCTTGCTGCCGCGCTCCTGAATCCTGTCCCGCGCTCCTTTGGGCTCGCGTTCCAAAGCGATGAGCTGCTCCTTCTCCGCGGGCTCGCACTCGTACTCGTCCAGCCTGGCGAAACACTCCTTTGTCCCACTGCATGTTCCACTTGTTGCTGCTGCCTGCTGTCTCCGCCGCGGCCGCTGCCTCGTCGGCGACAGCTCCCGCCCGTCTCGACGGCGAGCGCCTTGGCGGCGAGGCGTCTGCCGACCTCGGCTGCCGCAGGCTCCTTGGCGAGCTCCCGCTCCTTGTCCTCCGCCTGGGAAAGCTGGTCCCTGGGGCGGATGGCGTTGCTGATCGCCTGGTCGTGGCGCATGTTCACGTCCTTCCAGATGCCCTCGGCGCGCTTGACCGCGTCGGTGGCGTTCGCGCAGTTGGCTGCCGTCGCTAGTTTGTCGAGCAGCTCGAGCTGCTCCAGAAGGCTGTTCTTGATAACTCGATCGGACGTGCTGCCACTCATGCGTAGGAGCCGAGCTCGGACCTCCCTCCGCCGTGGTGCTGGTGGCTGCCGGGCCCCCAGCACCGCCGCCGCCGCCCATGCTCTTGCCACCACCTTGCCCGCTGATATCGACTGCGAGCTGCAGGGTGTTGGCACCATCTCCTCCACCGTTGCCTTTTTTTTCTCATTGTCCTGCGGGGCGTCATCTTGACAGGACGATGGCATCTGCTGCATGTGTATCCACGCGACTCTAAAATGCCGTTCCATCCCGATGCATTGCAAGTTTTGCAAGTCATTCAGAGCCTGGGCCCAGCTGCATGTGCCATCTGGAGTGATCACCGCGCTTCGCTGCACGAATATACTAACTAAGGGTGTTAGGGGACCGTGCGCCCCTCAAGTCGCCACTTGAAGGCGCATATGTCTCAGCTTCGCGACAACATGAAGCGCCTGAGTCAGAACGGCTTGAGTGCTAAGGGGGGGAAAGGGGAGGGAGGAGAGACAGAGAGAGGGATGGAGGGAGGGAGGAGGGGGAGGAGGGGAGGAGGGAGGGAGGGAGGAGGAGGGATAGAACAGTTAGGTAGGGGGAAATTGGAGGGAGGGACGGGGGAGGGAGGGCGGAGGGAGGGATTGCACGAACGGGAGCAAATCGGAGCGAGGGGGAGGATGGGGAGGAGGGAGGCGGGAGGAGGGAGAAGGGAGGGATGGGGGGGAGGGACATAGATCGGAGGCGGCGATAGGGGCGAACAGCCCAGGGAGGGGGCAGTACATGTATCCAGGGGCGCCGATGTTCCATGACTTCGGCGAGGCTCCCGGAGGGATGCGTGTAATGCCCTCCCCTGGGCTACTCGCCCCCATCGCCGCCTTCGAACAGAGGAGGGAGAGGGAGGAGCAGGTCAGGGGCAACATCATAATGGGAATGGGCTCAAGGCGGGACGCATTGACCCTCAACCGCCCTTGACAGGGGCCCGCGTTCTCGGTCGCGTTCTCGGTCGGCGCTGGCTTCTTGGGGGCTCCCGTCTGTGAAGTTGCTGCAGTTTCTCGAGCCCGTGAAGTCTAGGACCCCTTCTCTCCTCCCGCTCCTTTTCCCCTCTCTTCCTCGTCCCTCCCTCCCGCATTCATCTTTTGCGTTTTTCCCATGTTCGGGTTCGCGCTTCGTGTTCTCGTGCATTCACCGACCGCGTCTGAGATTATGTAGCAGGTGCTACTGAATAACTGCCCCCAGAAGTCTCGCATCCATCTTCCCTCTTCCTGTGTTCGGGTTCGCGTTCTGTGTTCTTCTTCAGAAGTCCTCGCGCCTTCTGGAAAGTTTGGTGTGTCTGCGGGAGAGGCTTAGAAAGCTTCTCAGAAGGCCAGGGAACTTCCGAGCCTTCTGAGAAGGCCCGCCCCCTCTCACTTCCCCTCCGGGCGCGCCGCCAAATTTAGACCACCTGCTCGCAGCGTGATTGTTGTTATCAGCAGCAGCAGCAGCAAGTGGCAACAGAGTGGCAGCAGCACGATGAGAGCGAGGGATGACCAGAGGGAAAGACGAGGAGGAGGAGGAACATCAGCACCCTGAGATCCGACGTTGCGAAACAGTTGCAACATCGCGAAAGGTCACGACCAGAGCCGTGGACCCCACCTTTCTGCGGAGCTGGATCGATCTGTGAGGATCCCGGGGCCCAAAATCGAGCGAAAGCGCCCGTTGTGAAAGAATTAGGTCGCCGAGAAACATCGGCAGGACGAGCGATCCGTCGAGGATCGAGGATCGAGGATGTATCGATCGAGGCTTCTGCGGAAGGGTCGAGGATCCAGGCTCGAGGCTCGAGGCTCGAGGATCGAGGATCGAGGATCGAGGAGCGATCGATCGAGGCTTCTGCGGAAAGGAGCCCGAAAAGCGAGGCGCCCCAACCAGGTGGGCTCCCTGGCGTACCCCGAGAACGGCGCGGGCGCGAGCCCGGCGGGGCCCTAGGTTGGGCCGCCAGGTTGGTCCGACGCACGCGCGGGCGGATGGCCAGACGAGGAACAGATACGAGGAGGAGGAGGAGGAGGAGGAGGAGGAGGAGGAGGAGGGGGAGGAGGAGGAGGGGGAGGAGGGGAAGGAGAGGAGGAGGAGGAGGGAGGAGGAGGAGGAGGAGGAGGAGGGGCAGGAGGGGGAGGAGGGGGAGGAGAGGAGGAGGAGGAGGAGGAGGAGGAGGAGGAGGAGGAAGAGGAGGGGGAGGAAGAGGAGGAAGAGAAGGAAGAGGAGGAAGAGGAGGGGGAGAAGGAGGAGATCGCTGCGCCTCCCTCGGGCAATGAAGAAATCCTGACGGGAGGGTTTTCACTATTTTCGGCCTCTGGGGGCCCTCGCCGGGCCTCGGGACTGTCAAAAAACGACTCGGGATGAAAAACTGGTCCTGGGGAATGGGTCGAAACAGCTGGGGGTCAACGTTATTAAAAGATCATGACGTCGGGGATCTGGGTTCCAGGCGCAACGAAGAACCACAACCACAACTGAGCGGATCTTTCTGGATGGTCCCTCGGAGGAGAGGCCACCAACCTTTCCATGAGCGCTCTGGTTGTGGTCGTGATCGATTTGGCCGTATGGGACGCCCACATCAGCCACAACCAGTACCAAGCTGGTTTCGGTGTTCGGACAATTGGTTGGCATGAGCAAGACACCCCCCAGAGTGCGTCCCCGACGCGGTCGTTGTCGCCTGCTGTCCCCGCAGACGTCCCCACGACCCGGCCATGAGCGAGCAAGTGGCACGTGAGCTGGTCGCTTCTCCTTCCGAGTGCGGAGCTTGCGGCGCCGCGGCGATCGCGGAGCCCTCGAGGCCTCGCTGGAGACGTCCCCACAGCCTGGCCGCGGGCGGGCCCGCGCGGCTGCTCCTCGGGGTGCCCACGTGCCACGCCTGCTGCCTCTCGGTCACCAGGGGGCTCCACCGCCGCCACGGCCGCAGCCGCCCCGAAGTCGTGGTCAGAGCGCACCCTGGGGAGGTCCGGGAGCAGCGGTGCTGGTCTCTCTCTGTCCCCCCCCCCGGCGCATCGGGCAGCGAGGGAGAGCGGGAGGGCAGGAGGTTGGAGAGGAGGACCAGACCTCGCGGAGGTTGGTCCAGTCTTACCGTGCGTTGGCCATCAGCGTCCCGTCCTTGGGCCCCCCCGACGATCGTAGGCTGTTCGGTCGGGGTGACGCTGTGCCTCATCCCCCCATTGGCAAATCGGACATCGGCCCCTCGTCCCTCCGTCCTCCCTTCGCCCTTCCCCGTCCTCCGCCCATCCTTCTCCGTCCTCACCCTTCCTCATCTTCCATTCATCGTCCTCCCTCACGCCTCCCTGCCTTCCCCGTCCTCCCCGAAAGACGAGGAGGAGGCGCGAGGAGGAGAAGGGTCGACCAACAAAACAAACGACACCACCCCACCTACGGCCCGCCATGCTGCGTTAGGATGAGGATGAATCCGTTCCAGAGCGTTCGGCAACGCTCTCAGAGCGTTCCAGAACGCTCTAAGAAGGCCACGGAGCCCGAGACATCCTCCAGAGCCGCCGGACTTCAGAGATTCTCGAGTTATCCTCACCCGAATTTGTCCTCGTCTTGGCTTCGTCTTAGGGACGGGGGACCGGGTCGGCGCCCGCATTTCTCTTGGGGGCCGTCCTCGGATGCTGCCTGACCGGGAGCTGGAGGGACGTCCTCCAGGGGCCGGAGGGCGCCCAGGCAGGCTTGCTGCTGCCCCACGCGCTCGCCTCCCACGTGGGCGGGCACGGGCACTTTGATGCCAGAGGCTTGCGCCAGCCCAGGCCACCATAGAGATCGAGGTTCGAGGCTCGGGAGGAAAAGGTACCCATACCGCTACACTTCCCTCGTTTTCTCCCCGCTTGGGGCCTCCTCGGAGGCCCTCGTCGCCACCGCTGGGCTGGATTCGCCTCGAAATTTCAGTCATAACGCACCCAGGGAGAGGTCCGGGGAGTCACGTTTGCCCTTTCTCCGGGCCGCCAGAGGCCTCCTGGAGCCTGCAGGGACCGTCCGAGAGATGCCCAAGGAGTCAAGGAGACTTGTCGGGGTCGGCATGAAGAGAGGCGTCCTGTGGGGTCCTCGGGTTGTTCTTGCGCCGTTTTTGGCCTCCGGTGCTCCCGTCGCCCTCTCGCTGGCGGCCGGGCGTCGGCCCCAATCGCCGGCGCCGCCGCCGCGCGGTTTCCATTTGGCGGGCGCTCCCCCCCCCCACGATTCGCCAGAGCAGGGGAACAATTTGTTCCATCGCACGCCCCGCTTGCGTTTTGCAACTCACAAGCTAACGTCATCCACGCTTGCCAGGAATAGTATACCGCTGGCGCCCCTCCCTCGGGGGCGGCAAAGAGGGGGGTGATGACTAGGGGGGGTGGATATCATGGCGTGGGCCATGATATTTCCCCAGATTGCATGGCGCCTCTTCTTGCTTCGTTGCGTCCTTGGTCCCCCCGCTGGGCCGCGCACGTGCCGCCGGTCATGATTTGCACACCCCCTCTTGGACACCCCCCTCTCGGCCGCTCCCGACTCCCGGGACCCGCCGAGACCTCGGGGGAGGCGACATTCTGACCCGGGACCACCCTCCCCCAGGACAGATTGGTTTTCCGCTAGGGCTCCCCTCCAGGACCCCCGTGCACAGGGCCTCCCCCTGGGACTCGACTTAACCACGACGTTTCCTTTCTCTGTTTTTGTTGTCCTCGGGGCTGACGACGACGACGACGACGACGAAGGTGAAAACCACGACTCACACACAGCGACGTGCCCAATCTGCAAAGTCAAGTTTAGCACGAGATTGAGAGCGATCGCCCATTTGAGCGACAAGCGCAGGACAAAGTGCTCGTCCCAGCTTTCCTTGGTCACACCACTGTGTCCAGATCTGGTGGCTGAGCTCGATCGCAAGGATGCTGCTGCGCGCCGGGCTGCATGGAAGGACGGTCACACGCAACCGTTGTCTTCCAACGGGCCACGACTAGAGACGGCAAGCGAATTGGTAGAGTAACCATGGCTTGAAGGCTCTGTCTGTACTTTGATATTTAGCTATCATGCCCCTCCGGGCTGATCTCCAAGTTCTGGATCGTTTGATCGCTCAGCGTCTCAACGCATGGATCGACGAGCACGTTGCTGTGCCACAGTGCTCCTGGGTTGGAGCAAGGCCATTCACGCAAGCACTGGACATCACGCACGCTCTGCACCTCGTTATCGAGAGAGGTCTGGACGACCGCAGCCAGTCGGCAATGGCTCAGAGAGATATTGAAGCCTATTATGACTCTCTCCCTGTTTTGGTGGTGTTGCAGTGGTGCGTGTCTCGAGGGATGCCGTTGGCGTTCGCGGCAGCAGCGGCGCGCCATCAGTTGCTCCCAGTAGTGAGTTTGCGTGTGGGAGACGTGGACGCGGAGCTTGGCAAGCGATCCCGCGGAAGTCTCACTGGGGGCCGGGTGGCCGGTGCTTTGGGCCGCATCCCAGTCGAGGCCACTTTCGGGAAGATGTCGGATGTCTGCCAGCAGCGGGGCTTCTTGTTGGGCGAGTTCCAGCAATTAGCCATTGCCACATACGTTGACAACATTTATTATGTCAGCTACTCCCTGTATAATGCTACGTGTTTGTTGGATGCGTTCGGGTACCATCTTTCCTCCGACTGGGGATTCCGCATCAAGGATTCCAGCAATTCATGCATGGTTGCTCCAGGAGGGGACGCATCCGTTTCAGACCCAGCTGTTTGGAAACCGCCGGAGTCTTTTGAGGCTTTGGGCCACATCTTGGAAGATACGGGATCGCGCACGATGTGTGTTGATAGGACTATGGCCGCCATGTGGCGTGCGTTTTGGGCCAATTGTGCCATGCACCGCCTGCGAGACGTCCCTGTGCGGCAGCGTCTTCGCATGCTCGATCGCTCTGTGCTGCCAGTGTTCGACTATCGATGCAGCCGGTGGCCGCCCGCCGCAACCCTGGAGGGACGCATCGACATTTGTCAGCGCCGCACGGTCAGCGTCCTGATGCGGGTGCCACGACAAGCTGGTGAAGAAGCGCTGGCCTACTTCCGCCGCAAAGCTAGGGAAGCCAAGGATCTTTGTAGACAGAGGCGTTGGTGGAGCCATCGCCATTGCACTCGAGTTCTGAATTGGCGAGAGCACCTCGAACGGCCGCGAAACCGTCGTTTTTGGGCGGCGCAGCTCCTACACTGGCAAGGCGAGCGCTGGCTCCCAAACCAGAGGATGCAGATGAACAGAAACAGGGTTCGTGCCAGACGCACGAATACGAGATTGGCAGCGCGTCGTCCACGACAGCGGTGAAACGATGGAGCCGGGTTTGCCTAAGAGCACATGTTGCCTGGCTCACACGCTGTTATTTATCCTCTCTAATCCCTCCCCCCCCCTCCCCGTCGCATGAGCATGAAGTCTTTCAGTAGTTCCAGCGTTGCGGCGGGCAGTGCGCCTGCATTGCACCTTTCTTCGCCTAGTGCGTTTTGCGCACGTGGCTTGCGGTGTTACCCCGCCTTTTGATTCTGATTTTTATATTTAGCGTTACGTTGAACTTGAGACGCCTTTGGCAATCCTTGCTCAATAAAATTTGCGTAGTGCTGTCGAAGACTCCGCCGCCGAAGACGATGGAGGACGAACGACGACTGTCGACGGAATACCGACGATGACACGACAATGATGACGAGGACGATAAACGACGATGGACCGACGACGACCGACGACCAGCAACGACGAGTGAACGACGCGGGCCAGGGCTGGGGCCAGAGCTGGGGCCGGAGCTGGGCCCAGGGCGGGGGCGGGGCCCTGGGGCCAGGCCCGAAGCTGGGGTTGGGGCAGCGGCTGGGGACAGGGCCGGGGCCGGGGCCTGTCGGGCCTATTTTTGGTGGTCCTGCAGGCTCGACAACGGGCCCCTGAGGCCGAAATCCAGCAGGAAAGCTTGCCGGACTGAAAAAGTCATTTCTTCGGATCTCTGGGGGGTGGGGCCGGGGACGGGGCCAGGCCCAGGCCTGGGGCGGAGGCACGGCGCGGGCCAGGGCCAGGGCCAGGGTCGGGGCCGGACCCCAAGCCCAGGAAAACGGGGTTTGGGAAAACACGCCGAACCGGGGGATTTCACGCGTGCGCATTCATCTTCTCAAACGAGCTGCACATGGAAAGAGCATGACATTGCATATGAAAGCAGTACAACAATGTACTCGGCTCGCAGTTGATATACACATACACATATGTATGTATATTTACACATATGTTTAACTCTTCCGGGTGCGGGTGATATATACACATTTGTATATGTAAATAGATATAGATGTATGTATGTATATATATACTACCTGTATCTGTTTTGGTTTATAAAGGGCAGGACCGTCTGGGGCGAGCTTGGAGAAGGCACCAGGGCCCAGGCACTCGTTTTCCCTCAGGATATTTCGTCGGTACGATCACCAAAGAGGGGGGTCGACGCGTTGGCCGCCTTCAAACACGATTTCGGCAGGCTTTGGAAAGGGGGACCAGGGGGAGGGGCCAGCCAAACATGCTACTCGCCGTGCCACCTCCTGCAAGCGCCGTGGTCCACAGGCCCCCGCTGGGCAGGGGCCACACAAGCAAGCAAACATAACTTCAGGACGCACAGCGCGTAATCGGAGTCGGCTGTCTGGGAGCAGTTTTTTGTTTCTCGCCTGGGGGAGGATCTGTTGGGCAGTTTGGGCGGCTCCTGCTCCCAGTCGGCCCTGCGGACAACGGGGTCATCCGCATGGGCGCAAAGATTTCCTCGCATCCCGCTTCGAGGTCGGGGCTGGAGAGATGTTTTTCTCCAGTGCGGCAGCGCGAGTGCACGAATGATCAAATCGTGCGTCGCTCGCCTTGCCATCTCCAGTAAGTGGGGTTCGGCGGGCCTCATCGTCACGGTGCACAGGGCCGTCGGGGTGCAAGTGCAGGGGCAGCTGCCGTGGTCGCCAGTGCACATCTATGTGGAGGTGGAGTGCGGAGAGAACCCCGTGAAACGCACTTGCGTCCGGCCCGACGGCAGGCACGTCGTCGTCGTCGTCGTCGTCGTCGTCGTCGTCGAGGTCGTGAGAGGAGGGAGGCGGAGCAGGAGGAGGACGAGGAGGAGGAGGAGGAGGAGGAGGAGGAGGAGGAGGATGAGGGGCGCTAGGCACGATACCGGCCTGGGCGGCTTGAGCGTTTTTCCAACGAAGCAAAGAACGACGTTTTTTCCCAAAACCATCCTGTGGTGCTGGGTCTCGTTTTGAAGAGACGATCCCCGCGTTCTCCTCCTTCCTCCTCCCTCCTCACCTTCCCCCTCCTCCCTCCTCCCTGCGTTTCACCCACCAGTGCAGCGCTTCGTGGTCCCATAGGGAGCTCCACCGAAGGCCCCAGTGCTACCGCCCGCATGCGTCACGCACACCCAATTCGGCACACCCCTCAGACGTCTCGTGGCCCCACAGGGAGCTCCACCGAAGGCCCCAGTGCTACCGCCCGCATGCGTCGCGCACACCCATGTCGGCACACCCCTCACACGTTTCGTGGCCCCACCGGGAGCTCCACCGAAGGCCCCAGTGGCACCGCCCGCATGCTTCACGCACACCCATGTCGGCACACCCCTCACACGTCTCGTGGCCCCACAGGGAGCTCCACCGAAGGCCCCAGTGCCACCGCCCGCATGCGTCGCGCACACCCATGTAGGCA